TAAGCGACGTCGGATTTCCGACCGGATTTCTTGGATCGGAGATGGAGCCCACTGGCGGCACCTTTGTCGCCGTCGCCGACCCTCGCGGAGCGCCAGGGAGGGGGTCCAGCGCCGATCCAAGACATCCGCCCGGACTTCCGAACGTTTATGTTGGTGTTTCTTTGTTCCTCCAGAGTTGCATGAGTGAACACATCACCTGAGGCTGATTACGACCTCGCCGCAGGCTGCGTCAGCCGCCAGGAGAGTGTTTTGTTTGACCTTTGGGCCATAACGCGCGTCATGCCCCCCCCCCCCTTCCCACCCCCCTAACGTAACGTTCCCCCCTACCAGCACTGCAGCAGCGCGTCCGCCACCAAAGCCTGATGTGCTGGACCCACACAGCGGGGGGGGGAGGGCGTTACGTTGTGCCCCCCCCCCCCCCCGCCCCCCCCACACGGCCCCCTCCCCCCCAGAACGCCCGTGACTGCCACGATGAACATGGGCTCTCCAGCCGGCCCGTTCCCGCCCCTCGCCTCGCGTTTGTCCGTCCGCTCCAGGTGCGCCTCTTCGACATCCCCCGCGCGGGCGCCCGCAGCACGGGCTGGTTCGAGCTGCCAGCCGTGGCCGCCTCCCTGCAGTTCGTCTTCGAGGGCCGCTTCCTGGCCTGCGCGGGCCACGACGGCGAGCTCTACGCCGTCCGCCTGGAGGACCTCGTGTCGCAGGCCTTCGCGGTGCGGCCCTCCCACGCGCCGCCCGGGCTGAGGCACCCGAAGAGCAAACACCGGCATCGACTCGAACGTTCGGGGGTCCGCGCGGGAGCCTTGGATCGGCGCTGGACCCCTCCCCCCCTGGCGCGCGGAGCGCGCCAGAGGGCACCGCCAGGGATTGGCGGCGCCTCCGGCGCCGCACCTGGCGCGCTCCGCGCGCCAGGGAGGGGGGGTCCAGCGCCGAGCCGAGGCACCCGCGCGGACCTCCGACAGCTCAGGTCTGTGCCGCTTGCCGTCCCTCAGAGGTGCCCGCTGTCCCTCCTGCGCGCGGGCCGGCCCCTGGGCACCGACAGCGGCCTGAGCCGCTGCGTGCTGGCCTTCGCCTACCGGGCGGGGGGCCACGGCCTGGGCGTGCTCGAGGAGACGGAGGGTCTGGCCGTCCCGCGTCGGGCCCCGCCCGGGGGCAGGGAGGCGGCCGCGGAGGCGCCCGGGGCGGGCCCGGAGGACCAGGGCGAGGCCGCGGACGGGGGGGTGTCAGGGGCAACGTGAGTGGGGGATAGACTCGGTGGGGTTCGATGTTCAAGGTTTTCGGACGTTTTCGTCGGTTCTCGGCGGGTTTCCAGCCTCGGGGTGCGTTCCAGCAGCCGCGCCTCGCCGAGGGCGTTCCAGGGGTGCCAGGATCGTCTCGATGGGACGCTGCAGAGCTCAGCTATGACCAAAAAACCAGACGACTACACTGGGGAGAGTCGGCTCAGGGTGGAATACATCGACCCCCAATCTCCCACTGGTCGCTGATAGGGGTCTGATAGTCCCCTCCAAGAGAGTGCGGATTCGCTATCAGGGGCCTGTCGCCGATCTATCGGCGATGCATTGCTGATTCAAGGTCGATGTTCCCCCCCCCTGAACTTGTCCCCCCCTTCACGTTGTCCCTCATGACTCCCTCCCAGATCCCGCTTCCACAACGTGGACCTCGGGATGTCTCCACCCCTTCCTCTGGACCAGACTTTCCTTCGGAGCAGTTTTTGTTGACGCAGAGGCCGCACGTTGCCACGACCCTGCCATCGTGACTTCTTCGCAACGCGAGGGTGTCCAGGTTCTGTAGGTAAGAGTCGACCCCTGGGACCTATCCTGGGGTGCTCTCTGGGCAGAATCCCCAGGGGAATCCAGCCACTGCGACCAGAAACTCCCCAGGAGGCTCAGGGAGAGCGAAAATCGAAGAAGCAGCGCTTCACCTCAAACCACGGACCCCCGGCGTTGCGACTTTTTAGGGCGTGGTCACTTCCCGCGACCGAGTTTTCATCCCGAGTCGTTTTTGGCGGCCGCGAGGGCCGGGAAGGACCCCCAGAGGCCGAACCTAAGAAAAACCTCCCGTCATTGTCTTGGCATGCCCCTCCTCCTCCCTCCTCCTATTCTTCCACCCTCTTCTCCTCCTCCTCCTCCTCCTTCTCGGGGTCTCGAACCGCGGCCCCCCCCAGGCGGAGGAGGCGGAGGCGGAGTCCGAGGACGAGCAGGTCGCGTACGCGCGGGAGCTCTGAGGCGCCGCCGCCGCTGCCCGGCTCTCCGCCCGCCGCGGGCGCCCCGCGCTGGCCAGCAGCCGCGCGAACGGCGGTTCGGCCGCCCGCCCGCGGCCCGCGTGCGAGCCCGGACATCCGGCGGGGGTGCACGTCGCCCCTGGACGTCGGAGGAGGAAGAGGGTACTCGTACCGCTACCCCCTCGCCCGTCTTCCCCTGTTTCGCCCTCCTGGGAGGCCCTCGTCGCCCCCGCCGGAATCGCCGCGAAGTGCTGGTCAGAACCCACCCCAGGAGAGCTCCCGGGAGTAGCGGTGTTGGTGCCTTGTGGTCTTCCCAGGACGGCTGCGGCCACGGAGTGCGAAGTGCGAAGCGATGCTCGATGTGGCGGTGCAAGTGCAAGCGAGGATGATGCTGCCGTCGCAGTTTTGTTCGCAGCTTCTCGGGCGGTGCGTCCGAGGCCGGAGGTCCGTCGAGCATCTTCGCTGGGCCTCGGCGGTTTTCGAGCCTCGGGGGGATTCCCAGCAGCAGCACGACGAGCTGCCATAGGAGGAGGGCAAGGAAGGCCCACAGTTGGATGTCGTCGATCAGGTTTTCCGACGTGTTCGCCGGTCCTCGCCAGTTTTCCAGCCTCGGGATGCTTCCCAGCAGCTGCGCCTTGCCGAGGGCGTCCCAGCAGCTGCCCAGCGGTGCCCAGATCGTACCGAACGGCTGCCGGAGAGCCGAGTTATGGCTTGAAAGCCTCAGGGGCTTGGGCCGATCCTCCTGAGATCCTGTCGGACCGGACGAAAAGGGGGGGATAGGGAAAGGGGGGGTTACGAAATCTGCTGCATGCAGCTGGTTTCGGCCGCACCGAGGGACCCATTCCTCGATACATGGCCGCCTCCGGCGCCGGGAGGCGCCGGGAAAATCAGCTACGTGAGCTAATTCTGAACCCCCCTTTTGCTATCCCCCCCTTCGCCCAGCCCGATCCTGGCATCACATTTCTTTTTGCTTGCAGTGGTCGGCGTTGCCTCGCTTCGGGCCACGGCCCCCTCGCGGATCGACCCAGTTGAAACACACAGAGCCGCAGGGTGGGGCCCAGGGCTTCGGTCGAGTTTTTGTTGATACGATGTGTTTTTGGCTGTTCGTGGCGTCGGTAGACCTCGCGGAAGCTCGGAGGTCAGGAGGCCGCGAGATCCGTCGTACGCCCCCTGAGATCCTTGGCGATCCTGCCCCTGAGAATCTCCATGGCGACTGGGGAGGCGAGGATTACTGAACTGATGGATTCCGGTATGCCAGGGCACCAGAATCCATCAGTTCAGTAATCCTCGCCTCCCCAGTCGCCGTGGAGACGCTCAGGGGCCGGATCGCTGAACTGAAGGATCTCAGGGTGCCTACGACGTCACGAAACAATCGTGGCAACACGCCGTGAGCAAGACTCGATCAGAGCCCTGGACCCCACCCGTCTGCGCCCCCTCTCGAGCCGCAGCGAGGGCCCCCCCGGGGCCCGAAAAAAGACGAAGCGGAGCCGCCCGTTGCCGGACATTACCAGTTCGAAACATATCCCTATCTTTGTGTTTGGCACCGCCTCACCTCGATGCCGATCTTGAGGACTCCCTCGGTTCCCGAGGGCACAACCCTGAGATTGTCCTCGCTTTTTGCTCGACCATCTTAGGGATAAGGACAAGTTCGAGGCTGGTTGGGACACTCGCGACGCCAGGGGGCCTCGGAGGGAGGCACCCCCGCGGGGCGGGGCACGGCGCCTGCGGCCGCGGAGCACCCTGCACGGCGGCCCCGGGCTGCGGGAGCCGCCCGGCCTGCCGGAGGAGCCCGCGGCGAGCGGCACGAGCGGCGGCCGGCCGCCCGAGCCGCGCGCGCGCGCGGGGCGTAGTAAACACGGAGGCCGCGGTTCCGTGAGAGCCCGCGCGCGCGCGGGGAGGGTGCGTCCGAGGCGGCGGTGCCGTGAGGTCCTGGCGCGCGGGCGTTCACGAGGGTCCCTGCGCTCCAGGCTTCGGGGCCTGTGCCGAGGAGGCGGGCTTCGCCCCTGGGCGGCTGCGGCCACGGAGTGCGAAGTGCGAAGCGATGCTCGGTGTGGTGGTGCAAGTGCCAGCGAGGATGATGCTGGCGTCGCAGTCGATCGTTCGCAGCGTCTCGGGCGGTGCGTCCGAGGCCGGAGGTCCGTCGGGCATCTTCGCTGGGCCTCGGCGGTTTTCGAGCCTCGTGGGGATTCCCAGAGGCTGCGCGCCTTGCCAGGGGCGTCCCGTGGGTGCACGGAAGGCCCCGAACGGCCACCGGGGGGCCGAGTTTTGCTTCAGAGTCTTCAGGGGTTTGGGCCGACCCTGAGATCTTGGCCTCGCATTTTGTAGGCAACGGGTCGTTTTACTATGTTTCGGGCCCTGTGGCCCTCACGGATCGATCCGGCTCGGGAAATGCAGCAGCAGAATTATCGGGTCCAGGCAAGTGCTTGTGGTTGTTGAATGTTCATTTCAGCCACGACGACAAGGGCTCTTGCTCGATAGTTCCTCGCGATTTACGCCGAGAGCCCCTGGCCAGGAAGGCCCCCGAACGCAGGAACGGCTCTCTCGCTCGAGAATTCTTCGTGATTTAGTCAAATTGGCGGAGGCCCAACTGTGACGACAAGGGCTCTCGTTCGATACTTCCTCAATATGTATTCGCAAAGGCCCTTGCCAGGCCCCCGAACTCAAGAGTTGTGCTCTCGCTCGAGACCTTCTCGTAATTCAGGCAAGTTGGTGGAGGCCCAGACACGGCGACAAGGGTTCCCGTTCGATATTTTTCGATATGTATTCCGAGAGCCCTTGGCCAGAGAGGCTTCGTAACTCAGGAACGGCGCTTTCGCTCGAGAGATCCTAGTACGTCATTCAGCGGCCGACAAGGAAGATATCCCCCCCCGAAAGGGGGTGCAATCGAAGACGAATGGGGGCGGGTATGGAGGGTTGAGGTATACAGAATGCAAGACACACGTGTCGGTAAGAGCGAGCAGTCTTAAATTGATGTTTGAATTCTCATTCCAGAAAAGAGTCATTGTTGATCCCCCCCCGCCTGGTGCACATTGTTTTTTTGATTGAAGTGCCCCTCCCTCGGCTCGCACCCTGTTTTTTGATCAGGGAACGTCTTGAGGCTCAAACTGTGTCGTTGGCCCACGGCTTACAACAACAACAATAATTTTAAGACTGTTCGCCCTTAGATGCTCGAGTGTCCAATAACGCGTATTTCCCAAACCCTCGATACCCGCCCTCTTCGTCTTCGATCGAACCCCTTTGGGGGGCTATACTTTTCTCCCCTGCAGGCCGGGCCCCGGCAAGCGGCGGGGCGGCCGCGGACCGTCGGCCTGGCCAGCGGCAGCGCTGATCGGCGGGGCGGCCGCGGACCGTCGACCCGACCCCAAGAGGGACGGACAGGGGACCGACCACAACGACGACGACGACGACGACGACAACGACGTCGGAGACGACGACGACGACGACGACGGCGACGGCGACGACAAGCGAAAGCCAGAGCGAGAGAGAGCGACAGCAGGACCACGAAGGGCACGAAGTAGGCCACGAAGGGCGACAGCGGGGACACGAAGGGAATGCGTATGGGGCCACGAAGAGCGCGAACGAGCGGGGGCCACGAAGTGCAGATAATGCGGGGCCACAGGAGGCAACTATGGGGCCACTGAGTGTAGCAACTGGGCCACGTAGGACAGTGAGGGGGACATAAATGGCGACGGCGGGGCCACGAAGGGCATGCACATGGGGCCACAACGGGCGTGACTCCTGGGTGCCTGGGTGTCGGGAGCGCGGCGCTTGGGCAAATTGCAGGAAATTCCAACGCAGGGCCATTCTTCAGTAAGTTGCAAGCAAGTCTCCAGCGAGAAGGCGACTCCAGAGCGCTGGGAGAGCGATTCCTGAATATATTGTAAGGGAGTCCTAAGCGAGAGCGCAACTCCTGAATAAAATGCGAGGAAATCTCGGCCGGGAGCGGGGGTTTTGGCTAAATTATAAGGAAGTCTCAGGCGGGAGCCGTTGTTGTTGTAACCCGGGGGCCAGTGGCCTAGTTTGAGCAGGAAGACTTTCCCAGTCAAAATACAGGGCGCGGGCTCTAATAGGGCTGGATCCAGCTCTAATAGGATTACCTGCGAGCTGGACGCAGCTCTAGTATTGTAGTTTACATAATATGGAAATCGACATATGCGTATTTTTTTGCTGGAATGTGAAAAAATATGAAAAAATATAAATCAGATATGTAAAAAAATGTACAAATTATGTACAAAATATGTACAATATTTCAACATGCATTTTCTGATATATTGTAGATGTGTAAGGAATTGGTTCTGATGCGCATCTATTTCTTCACGCAGCGCATGCCCTTTCAACGTCTATCCGCCAGGTCTTGCCCGGAACACATGCCATGATTGTCTTCGACAACGGATCGTCTCAGACCACGCCCCCGTCTTTTCGCCCTCGAACCCTCAGCGGGGATGGGGAAGGTGATGGGGGGAAGACAGAGAGCGAGGGAGAAAGAACGAGAGATGACAGGAACTACATTATATAACGAAAGGGAACGATGTATGTGTAACATGAAGACATGCACATTTTCATATGAGTACGGGGTAGGGTACGACGATGATTGCGTCGCCGCCGCCGTCGTCGCATGGGCCGTCAGCGTCGTCTTCACCCTCGCTAGCGTGACCGCGTTCGTTCTTTGATTCGTCATCGTCGACGTCGTCGTCGCGTTCTTCCAGGAGGCCTTCAATTTGCAGGCGGGGCGTTTCGTGCCCCCGCGACCGACCGTGCCTTTCACCTTCTCCCTCTTCCGTCTCGTTGTCCTCTTCCTCCTGTTCATCGCGTCTCGGTCCTCCTAGCCTCTAGCAGCTAGAGGCTAGGAGGGCCAATGCAGCTAGAGTCTAGCTGCATTGGCCCTCGGGGGTTTCGCTCGCATCAGGGGTTCTGTCGCGTTCGTTTTGCCCGTCGTTTTCCAAGTCCCGAGTCGTTGTCGTTGATTTCGTCGGCGTCGCATCCACCGTCGTCATATAACGCAAATGTTCCAACGCAGAGGCGCGGGTGTAAATGGCTCGGGTAATTGTGAGGAAGTTTCAAGCGAGAGCACAGGATGAGTGAAGTAACCGCGCTGCTCGCTTACTATATTATAATATATGATCCTCCCCAGTTTGTTCTGCGTGGGCGCGAGGATGTCGGCGCGTCGCGCATGGCGTGGAGCTCTTGCATTCGGCGACAGAGTCGTTGGATGATTGGAATGCAGCGGCCCAGCGTCACTCCCATGTCCGGCGATTTCCGACAGCCGCCTGCGGTCGCGGCGGCATAGAGTCTATAGTATATAGTATAATATAGAGCATATATGGCATAGAGTCGAGCATACAGCGGATAGATAGCAGATAGCGCCCTCCCCCCCCTCTTTGTCCGGGAGGGCCATTCTGTTCAAGTGTTTCACAATTGCATGATGAATTCCCCACAGCCCCGTGCGTGGATTGGCGAGGCCAGCCCAGACCCTTGGGCCCCAGCATCGCCCACGGCGTCAGATGTCGGGCGACCTTCGCCGTTGCCGTTGCCAGGCGCAGAGTTCTCGTCGCCAGCCCACTCACTGCCGCGCCTCTCCTCACCGAGCCCTGCCGAGCCGACGGGATGGTTGAACTCGAGCCCGATTGGCGCACTGGTTCCGAGGCCGAGGGGGCCCTCCAGCCCGGGCCCGCGCATCGTTGCGCCCTTGGCCCACAGGGGTCGGCCTCCCATTGCAAATGCAGATGGTGACCCTGGAAGCCCGCGCCTTCTAATCCCTCGGACTCCACAGCAATATCTCTCGGCCCCGGGCGAGGGTGGTCTCCTGGATCTGATGCGGCCTGCAGGCGAGTTGGTGCATCGGACATTTGCCTCCTTGTTCAGCGATCGCAGTTTGGAGCCTACAGAGCACACCATGAAACTTGTTGATTATTTCCTCGGCGACGTCGGTCGCCCAGCTGCTGCAGTGGACGTCGATGCGAGATTACTCAGCGTGCCCCGAAGAGACGCCACCAATTTGCCGATTCAGATGGCGGCGGTCGCACATTATGGAATCCGCATTTTTCTCAGCAGTTTGTGTTCTCATTTTTTATATTTGGTGAACAGGTCCCAAATAAAAATGATATCGGTTGGTACATTCATGTCTTACGACGAGACGCCTCTGACGTTTCAGAGTCCAGACATGTCAGAATGCGTGCGACAGTTCTTGGAAGTTGCGTTGCCAGAACCACCAGGCGATGCTGACACAGATGAGAAGCACAACAAAAAACAGAAGCGAACACACAAGCAGACATGCAAAGTCATACAGTCAGATCTCCGCGTGTCGTTCATTTTCTTGGATTACGTCAGCCATCGAATATTCAACTTGTCCGTCCCAATTCCGAACCCATTGCAACAGGCCGATCATGTCACCGCTGAAGTTCTCATGAGATTCATTCGCGAACAGATGACGATTCCTATGTTCGACTCGTTGAGATCGAAATCAGATTTCTCATTTGATTGCGCAACGTGTGATCGTGGAGCGAACAATTGGAAAGCCGAAGCAATTCTTGCGAATGATTCTGCATCGGTGACCCGCCTCACTATACCATGTGATTTGCACATCGGCAACACCGTTCAGTGCCGTCAGTACCAGCCAGTGAAAATGTTCGTTTCAGGGATGGTTGCGTTGTCGTTAGCACAACGAGCTCCAGGGGCCATTTCGAAATTCAGGTCTGCGCTGCGGCACGTGCTCCTTGGCCGCGTTAGTCCTTATCCAGTTGCCCCCCCTCCTGAGAGTGATCCTCATGCAGTGTACAAGCGCAGAGTGCTCGATTTATTCTTGGACAAGACTAAGGCATGCGACCGGATACGTTACGTGAAATTGGACACTTTGTTGACTGGAGATTTGCATGATTGGCACATCACATGGTGCACTGGCACAGACGAGTACAGTGTAACTGATTGGGCCGATGAAGTTAGCGCGGCGTTGTTCCCATACGCAATTCCTTTATCGAGTGGCCTTCGGCATCCTGTCCCGCCACCGTGCCAGGGGCTCCGTGGATGTTTTTTGGGGACATCGTGGTTCACTTTTTGGGCATCCAGGAACCAACTTCGAAGCTTCTCAGACCTTGGGGCCTCCTGGGAGGGGGCAGCTGGATCTTTGCATGTTCGGGGCTTCTTGGATATTTTGGCTTTTGGCTTCTTGGATCTTCTTGGGTCCATTCGTTTGTTATTGGGGGGCCATCTGGAGCAGGAGGGGGCAGGGTCTTCGAAGCCTTTCCCGCTCGCCCTCGGGGGCCCTGATCCGCGCGAGGGGTGTCAGAAAACAGCTGCCCCCAAAGTCGCGTGGTAAGTGCCCGCGGGCGGTGCCGAGGTCCAGTAGATTTCAGAATCTTCGGTTTGAGAACCCCAAAGGCTTGGCCCAAATGGGCCCCTCTGGGGTGAGGATCGCGGCTGTTTCACAGGCTATGGGCTATGGCTATGGGCTATTATGGCTGCGGCTACGGGCTGCCGCAGGACCCGAGGACGCGCCCACTCTGCGCCGCAGGGCGCGGCGGTGGATTTCCACGGACTCGATGGTTGCGCAGCCACTCGACATTGAACAGTGTTGGGTTGTTGGCGTCGTGCCATTCTCTGTTGACACAGGTCGCGGCCGTGTGGACTATTCTCGTCAGCGGGAAGCCCGCCCCGCCGATGTTGGACACAGGTGCTTTGGAGACCGATTTTGATCTATCGGTCGACGACGTCTTGTCGGCCGGAGCCGAGCCGAAGAAATCGGATTTCATGAAGGACGGGGCCTTGGATTGGGCTGCGTACAATAAGGCGAACCGCGGGTGTGCTCGGAGGTTTTCTGTGCAGGCTCCAGGTCCGTGGTCGATGGTGACGCGCTTGTGCGTCCAACCCATGGTCACGCTTACCGATCGGCTCTTGAAGCGTTCAGGGATGGGCACAGATGTCCGTGCCAGGCAAGAGGGGGTAACAACTGGTTTCTTGAGCGGTCGGTTGTTGGAAGCCCACCACGGGGAAGTTACTTTGCCATTCTTCAGTGATGTCCGTGGCATGTTGTTTGATAGCGACATTTGGTTGGTCTTGCCAGAGCCGAGCCAGACCCACCGATTCCACGCGTTGGCTTGGGCAATGTTGATTCGCGCCGCTGCTGGCATTCGTCACCTTATGCATCGACCACAGTGTGGTTTTCCCTATCGGATCTTCGAGTGTCTGGTGGACTCGTCCGCGGCGGCTCAGATCGTCCAGGAGGCAGTTGGCGGATGTCTCTTGGAGAGTTGGGCGAAGGTGGACGTTTGAAATGCCGCTGATTCTGGCCAGGGCGCCCCAGGGGCCCCAGGGGGGTCGGCTTTGGCGGGGGGGGGAGGGGGGGGGCGCTCACCGGAGTCAAAGTTTTCGTCGGGGTTCGAGGCTTTGGGCTTTGGTGGAGCGAAGGCTCGTTAGACGTGAGATGTTAGACTTTAGAGTTGTTTTGCCCCCCCCCTTGCCTGTTTCGTGCTCTCAAGGGGGAGATCGGGGTCATCGCAAGAAAGACAGTGGCATTTCAGACGTCGGCTTTCATCCAAGGGCGTGCTTGCCACCTGGCCGTCGGCAGACCTTTTGAATGGCGCAGAGTGCCAGGCGACGCTTTCTGCTGTCAACCAGTCGTCAGAGACAGACATCGGTAAGATAGAGTGCCGCAACGCGTCGTGCCGCCGCATTGCGCGCAAGGCGCAGACCAACGCCATCCCATTCTGCAAGGCGTCTTCGGATTTCTTTCTGCTCAGGCTCAGGGTTGTTTGAATCAGTTGACACCGCCCTCTCTGGGACTTGGTTCATGTCGAGCCCTGTCGTCTTTGGGGCTTTCAGAGGGCCAGGGCCTTGCGGCGCATTAACTTAGAATCTGGCGGCCGCCACGTATGACATTGACATATGACATATGCTAACCAAGAGTAGGCGTAGGGTGTTGGAGTGTAGGGCCTCAGTGTAGGGTAGGGGGGGGGGGGGGGCAGACGAAGTCGATGATGATGATGGTGGTGGTGATTCTGATTCTGACAATGAGGACGGTGAGGACGAGGGTGAACATGTGGAGAGGATGGCCATGATGATGAGGACAGTGACGATTGTGATGATGGTGGCGGTGATGGTCATGATAATGGCTATATTGAGGGTGACGATGCAAATTGCGGAGGCGACGGTGGCCATGGCGATGTTGTTGATGATGATGATGCTGATGATGATGATGATGATGATGATGATGGCCACGCCGATGACGACGAGGGAAAGGCGTCCCCTCGCCACGAGGGAAGGGTAAGCAACTCTCGTCTCTTGGAGGGGGGTGCAGGCAGCTCTCGTCGTCAAGTCTTTAGTCAAGGACCCCCCCGCACACAAAACAAAACATAATCAACTTGGCGTCGGTTTCGTCGCGTTGTTGTGATTCCGATTTGCCGCCCATCAGTTCGTTGCGGTATATCGGGGCATCGGGGGTAGTAACTTAGATTTTTAGATGGCCGAGAGGTTCTGAAATTTCGCTACCCCCCCCAGCCCACAGGCTCCGCCGCGAGAGAATATTGGTCCAGTTGGCTCGGCAGGTGAAGCGGCCACCAGAGCAGCAGAAGAGGAGACCTCGCAGGAGGAAAGCCTTGCCGACAGACCCTCAGAGGAGAGCGAAGATCATTCGCAAGGAGCTGAAATCCCAGGGCTTGCGGCCGACATCGAAGCGAGCCAGAACAGGCCCACGGGGGCCCCGATGGAAAATCCACCCCCCTTGCCCCGCCCCCCCCCTTCCAGGGAGAGCTCAATTTGTTAGTCTCAGTTGGTGCTCGCCCGCCTTGGAGAGAGGTAGATTCACGCGTGGTCATGCCGGGCCAGGCCAGCCGCGATGCGGCATGCATTCACGAGCGCATTTTCAAGGGGAGCGAGCTCGCAGCCACACAGGATTTAGTCTTGGATTCTGGCGTTGGAACTCATGGGTCGAACTTTGGTTGCGCGGGTCGAATTGCGGTTGCATCTCCGCCGTTCACCCGCCATCCCCGCGCCCCCCACCCCCCGCCAGCATTAAATTGATATAGCGGCCTCATTCCATCACCCTTCCCAGCGATGGTTTCGCGCGTTCTGAGTGTAGGCAGCTACTTAGCTAAAAGTAAAAACAGGGGTCTGCAAGCTTTCAGATGTCGGGTCTCCTCCTGCTTCGAGGTTACGGCGGCGTCGGCCGAGCGTTGATGCGAGATTACTTGGTGGGCAAGAGGTGGACGAAAGATACGAGGCGGCTTGTTTTTCAAGCTGCGCACGCACACCGACGCTCAGTGATGCAGGAGGGCGGCGCAGTTTTGCAGAGATTCGTTCGACAAGGGCAAATGGGCAAGGTCTCTTCAGCCCACGGTGCCAGCGCGTTTGGCCATCTATCTTTTCGGCCCGAGGCCCATGGCAATGACGCCATCGTCCCCGCAGGTGGCCTACAGGGCGCCGTGGTCTTGGCCACAGAAGCCGCCCGGGCGTCGCGCCGTGAATCTGTTTTGGCCAGGCAAGCCGATCATTTGGCAGCCCAGCGTTTTACTGAGTGGTCGCTCAGCCGGAGGGGGTCCGTGCCTGGCGACGTTCCCGCGTGCAACCCAGATCACGGTGCCATGGTTACTTTCGTCGACTCTGTATTGCCATATGTGATTGTGGAATGGCTCCCCCCAGTTGAGCAAATTGTCTGCCGCGTCTTGTGTCACGAGGCTGTAGAATTGCAATATTTAGTTGAGGCGTGGCAGAAGCGGCACATGCCGTTACTGGCAGCCGATGAGCCACACCGAGAGCCAGCACAAAAAATGAGACTCTGCTTTTATGCTGGATTTTGTCTTTGCGGTGATGTCGGCCAGACGCGCATTGACATGGCCGCCGCATTTGCTCAATACCTTAGGCGTGCTCTTACTGAGAAAGATGCTGAACCTCGTCGCCTTTACGAACTTGGCCTTCTAGTAGTTTTGATACGGAACCATGATATGAACATATATTCTTGGTGGCACGTAAGTCACGCAAATTTGAACAGCATGCGCATGGACCTCGCTCCCCTCGCGCCGACCACACACCAGGACTTGGCAGATTACGCTGCAGAGTTCGGTCGTCAGTGTCTGGATTTCAACGGCGGCGATTCGCCGCACCTTGGGATTTGTAATCGTTCTCGCTTTGCGAATCCCCGCCTGCCTACGCCTTCTATGCAGCCGTCGAACGAAGAGTCTGAGGTCTGGATTCCCTCGTCCGCTGCCCCCGCGGTTCTGTGGTTGCCCGTCGCCGTTTTCGCCGCAGGCCGTGGATGCGCGAGGGGGGGAGAGAGAGGGTTGACGAGGATCAGGAGGAGGGTTCCATCCTCCTGATATATACTATATTATTATATGGTATATAGATTATATATATGGATAAGAACAGACATGATAGGAGGATACACGAGGAGATGGAGAGAGGTGGAGTGGAAGAAAAGCACAGGCAGAGACAGGAGGAGGTGACAGGAGGAGGACAGAGGAGGGTGCCCAGAGGCGGAAACGGAAGGAGGCGGAGGAGGAGCCAGCCCCTCAAGACATCCCCATCCTTCGGAAAGCCGTGGGAAGCATCGAGGAAGCAATGCGAGTGATTTCCGTTGGAAGTCTTATTTGTTTGGGTCTAAGGGCCTATCGCTTCCTCAGAGGGCTCTTAGTCACTAAGTCTTTGGGGATTTGCAGATGGTTATTGGGTATGGGGGCTTTCTTGGGCTCTTGGATCTTTTCGATGGGGCATTGCGCATTGGGAATTAGGCCCCCTGGGCCCTGGGCCCATCTTGGAGGCCATCGATCAAAACGAGGGCTTGCATTGAAGGTGCCCTTGCCCTTGGCCCTTGTCGAGGTCGCGGTCCTCGGCGCGGCTATCATTGGCCCCCCCCCATGGGCAGGGCGCGTTCCAACGCCTCACAGGCCCCCCCCCCCCCCTTTAGACTTAAGCCCGAAAGGGAGGAAGGAGTTGAGCGGGCTAACCGTAATCACTCGCGCTCCAAGCCCAGAGTGGTGGTGGGATTTGTGGCAAGTATGCGCCCTGCTGGATGCAGACAATCCGTTTGGATGCACTCTCTACCGAATCTTCGACGGGGACTCTGCGCGGCTGTCCTTCGCGCCTGCAGTTGGCCTGGAGGTCGAGGAGGTCGATGGTTCGTCGTTCGAGTTTTGGGGGGGCCCTCGCCGGCGGCTTCGCAGGAAAACGCCGCCCAATAAGAGACGCCCAGCCGTTGCTCCTTGCTTGGAGGCGGGGCCCGCCAACGCAGCACCGCTGGTCGACTTTGAACAGCTGGAGAGGCAGGGCGACGGCGACGTTCTTGTCGACGACGGGGGCATCATGGATCTTCAGGAAGGCGACCCCTGGGACCCAGACAACTTCGGCGAAGGCGATAGCGAGAGTGGCGGCGACGTCGAGGGAGGCGGCGCTCCAGGCGGCGACGCAGGCGGCGAGGGCTGCCCAGATGGCGCCGCGCCTCCGCCGCCGCCGCCACCTGCGCCCCATCCTGGGGGCGTCGGCGGGGGCGGCCAAGGCCACGGCCGGGGCGGCGAGCGTCGCGGCTTCGATTGGCGAGGTTGGCAGATCGCAGGTGTATTCTCCAAGGGCGCCCAGATTGGGTGGGGAGCCACTTGCGCCAGACACCGCGACTTGGGTTCAGACCTCACGTGCAGGAAACAACTTACTTTTGGGAAAGGGCCTTCAGCTTTGACCAGTGACTTGTGTTTGCGGCAAATCAAGCAATGGCTGATTGTGGGTCGGGCAATACCGCCTGGGGATCGAGCCAGGTCACGGCACGTCCTTGAGGAGTACCCTCGGTTGTATGCGCCCATGTC